GTTATAGGTGAAACCACGTTATAGTGAACTTGCTTTGATCCACCAGAGTGCGCAGCCCTGCCCCCCCCCGGAGCGCTGCTTTTCCACGTTATATCCGAATTCGTGTTATATTGGTTCGCATTATATCGGGGTAGAGGTGTACTCCTGATCTTTTTGATAACACAAAGGAGAACTCTTCAGCCTCCATTCCAACTTCCTGGATTTTGATGGTTCTTATTCTCTTGTTGGATTCTGAAATCCAAACCAATTAGCTGATGATGGATGGAAAGAAAAAGAAGGGTTTGGATTAAAAAAAATTCCAAGAACCCATAATCTGCTCCACTGAGAATAACAAACTGCAGATGTAAGAAATTTAAAAGAGCGTATTTAAGAAAGAAAAGAAACCACCTTTCATTAGTTGGGAATTCTAGCTCCCTCCCTGCCTCGAAGGGATCACCAGTATATGTTTCTAATACAATGGCATTTGTTCTTGTTCTTAAAGATATATTGTTGTTTGCCTTTAAGGCTTTGCAACACAAAAGAGCACATGCAGGCTTTCTTTTGTGAAGTGAATCCTGAAGACTTGTGCAACCTTAGCAGAGTTTATTCTCCATAATGTAAATCTTCAGTGAAGGAAAAACATCCATCTGTGCAGAGTATTGTCATCCAAATTGTGTAGAAAATCCCTCAACCTCCATGGCTGACTTTTGTTCTTGTTTGTAAATTCAGCTTTGATTAGTCTTCCATTGATTAGTCTTCCATATCACATTCTGTTAGGATAAACATTATTCTAGAAGAGTTAGGTTTCAAAACATATTTCATTTGTAAAGGCGGGTGTTGCAGTGTAGCCAAACAAACCAAGTGAGAAACTTGGCTCTGCTTGATATAAACAACTCCAAAAGAAGAAAGAAGCACTAAATTTGGGAAAGAACTTGGGGAATTCGTTCCTTAAGTGTTCTGATAATGCTGAGAAAACAAAGTGGTTTGATCTGTATTTATACCACAGTATCATTTCATAGGAAGGGTTACCCTTTACTTGTACTTCAATCATTTATATTTTCAGATAACACAGTCTTGTCATGAACAAACTAAAAAAGTTAACATGAACAGTACATCAGGGGCGTACTCCTACTCCCACTGAAGCTGGTGTCAAGACTCCCATTCATTTGAGTGGTGCAGGATCAAGTTTTAATTTAGTTTGAGATTCTGAATGACACTTGAATATTCTCTTCTCTTTTATTATTATGAGGAGCTTATTCTAGCATAATGACAACATACAACAGGTGGTGCAGAAGTTGAAATAAACACAATAGAAATATGGTAATTGCTCATTGGTTAATGTTGCAATTGATTATATCATGCCTCAGACATATCACAGACATAGAAGAAATATATGACATAATCTTTATATGATTGAATTAATCCTAGATCTTTGGCTACCTCACATGTACCTGGCCTACTAATTCATCTCTGCTTTGTATTCACCAAACCTCTGAGCCACTTCAGTCACTGTTGAAAAGATCTCCCAAACACAGCCTGTTGGAGGGAGATTTACTATTTTCTCCCTAGAGGCAGAACTTATTCCCTTTCATAAGTGCTGGAACTAGGGGTGCTGGGGGTGCTGCTTCACCCCCTAGCTTGAAGTGGTTTCCATCATATACAGGATTTACAGTTTGATTCAATGGCTCTCAGCACCCCCACTATACAAATTGTTTCAGCACCCCTGCTTACTTTCCTCCCTCCCCCTGAAAAAATTACTAGTCCAAGATGCAGACTGGTGGATTTAAGGTCCAGTATCTTAGACCCTGTGTGACAGAGCAACTTGACATTGGAAGTTTGGAGTCTCAGAGAAGAAAAAAATAAGTTTTTAACAAGCAGGGCTTATTCCCCTATTTGTTTATTAGGCCTCCAGTCTAGGTGGGTCAGGGCTCCCCTTTCATGCCAGTGTAACTAGGCTAAGACGAAAAAGACTATGAAGCAGGCCCTGGGAGGCTTGTCAGTGAAAAACAGGTATGTTTCATTGACAGAGTGGGAAAAATGATGCCTGCCTGTCAATCTTCTTTTTGCAAAGCATGCTGGGAAGGGGTAGAGTCTGGGGCCCTATAAAATGCAGACTCTTGACAGTCAGCACCTTCTGCTGTCCTGGAGGTCTCCTGTGTGAAAGACCTTTTTAGTTCTATATAGATGATTCTGAAAACTGTCTTACTGACCACTTTGGGGTAACTCTTTTATGTAATCTTTTGTCTGGGAGCCATTGGGGATATCCTGCAAGGTTGCTGAGTGCCCTTAACTCCCTTTGAGGTCAATGGAGCCCACAAGACTGGGCCCTTTGAGACTGCCGGACCAAAGAACACCCAGGCTCAAGTTCCTAGTGAAAAGACTGTCTAACTGACAGATCTGAAAATTTAAGTCAACCTGGGATCTGAGAGTCAAGCTGGATCTTTCCTGCTCATATGACCATCTTCAACAATAATGATCTCACAGGCTACCTCTGCAGCTTCACTCTATGCAGAGGAATTGTGCACCTGTGACACAGTTGTTTTCAGTGGAGTTGTGGAGCTGTAACTGTCTTCTGTGTGGTTGTAGAGGTATAAAATGAGAGCAGAATTGAGCCCTTCAGTTGGAATTTACTCTGCAGTGCTATTGATGCCCAAGTAGAAATGGAATCCAGCTCACTCTTAGCTGCGCTGGTTCTGCAGGGTGAACAGGAGTAAAAATTTTATTTAAAGTCAGCAGATATGGCTCTCGGTACATGCAGGGAGAAGATATGAGAAAAAAGGTGCCATTTGTGCCATACTCACTTTATAGAATAGACTCACCAAAGCCTGCTTAATGGAACTTCTTTTTCTCATAGCTTCCCCCGCTCCCCCATTAGCAGGAAGTTTTATGTGACTTGCAACTAGCTGAAAATAAAATTGCCAGAGCAGGAGTGTTTGGGGTTTTTTATGTCTCTACATGCTCTGAGAGAGAAAGAACTACCTTAGGTTCTATGCAAGAATCAAGAAATTAACTGGATCTAGGCATATAGGACAGAATTACTTCCAGTTACTCTGGAAAGCCTTTCAGATGGGCTTCTGAGTCTAGAGAGCTGCTGGCCCACAAATACATGAAGGATTAGAAAGGAAGTCAAGGTGGGCTCACTGGATAATGGCTGCTATATTCAAGTCAGCTCTCAATACCAAGCATCATGTTATAATAACAAAACATTGTTGTGGATGGGATTTTCAGAAGTGCTATGCCCTAGTTTAATTACACTTTCATTGCTGTGGAACTACCATTGACTTCAGTGAGAGCAGACCAGACCGTAGTGTTGAACACTTTTGCAAGTTCCACCCACCTTGCAGCAGCAGTTTGCCCTGAGCCCCCAGCAGAGAAGCCGTTCTGTCCTACAGCAGTGTCAGCTATAGGGAGTTCTGAGACCCATTTGCAGAAGGAAATAAAGTACTCACAAGTGCTAAAATATTAAATCTCACACTTTTAAATGTCAAAATGTCCCTAACTCTGTCTCTGGAAAATACAGAGATTTTTTTTCACCCAATTTATATTTTAAAAAAATCTTGAATTATTTTAAACATCAAAATTAAGTGAAAAAATTCTGGGGAATGCATTCATTTTTAAAAACTTTGTTCCCAACTACAGTAAGACTAAAATAGAGGATGGTGGATGATGTTTTGTATGGTTATACATTTCCAGTAACAACATATATGTCAAAACCTTTAGAGTACATCCAATCTGCTATGGACTTGTGGCCTGTTCTATAAAATGCAGAGCTGGTAGAAAAATTCCTATTAAAGTTTTTTTATGTCAGAATTTGGCAATTTGTCAAAATTGAAACCTTTTTGCGGAGATGGTTTGATTTTGAAAAAATTCTGAGCTGGAACTTTGCCAGCCAACCCACCTGCTGGACTGCTTTTGGAGTCAGGGACCCCAGGGCTCCTAGGGTCTGTGGTTCTGGGGCAGCCTGCCATGTGAATTACCCCAGAACTAGGGTTCTATTTCCTTTCATGGAGAATCTTGAAATTATTGGATTTTGTTCCAAATTGGAGCTAAACCAAAATTTCAAAATATCAAAATCCTCCACGAAAAGGAGTTAGTTACCTTTCTTCTACCCAGCTCAAATAAATATCTTTGTAACTGAGCCTTCATAGTATCTCTAAAGAGGCATTGTTGTCTAGCATGCAGACCGAGAGACAGGAGTGCTAGGTTCCCAGTTCTTCAACTGCCCACTGAGTCACCTTGGGCAAATCATTTAACTTCTGTTTTAGTTTCCTTGTCTATGAAGTAGGATAATCTTATTTTCTTCCCTCACAGGAATGTTGAATTTTCATTTATTATTTGTAAAGAGCTTTGAGAGTCTCATATAGGAGATTATAGAAGTACAACATAGCAGTATTGGTGCTGATGATATCTGGAGTCCAAAAGTAACTTACATCTGTTAAAAAAAAATTTCCCCATAGAGTGTGTCTGTGTCATGTTTATGAGAAGAGACCACAATGGCCAAACCTAGAAAGTGTCCTTTTTAAAGAGATTGGAGAAAGGTTTCTGAGCCAGAATACAATCTGTGACATGTGACAAAGCTGGCTAATTTACATGAACATCCCCCAGTATCTTGTGTATATCTTTTTTTTTGGCTTGAAACCCTTATCTTCCTGCTAAGGTACATCGGCTGTTCTGAGACACTATGTCATGAGAATGGTAAGATAGCATCTTATCTTATAGGGAAGTACATTTTAGTAAGTTTTAAGAAAAAGATTAGGTAGTTATAGTGTATGAATAAGAACAGCATTTGCAGTAGATTGTGTAAAATAACAATTTGGGGCACAAATGGCTCGCCAGCTGGAATCAAGAAGAAACTTCCATTGTGTTTACAGTATCACACAGTTGAGTACATTATAGGTTTCTGGCTTGCTCTGAAGCAATGAGCATTGGCTGCTGTTAGACAGTATGTTGATATGGTTTGTACTGCTATTCCTAAAATGAATATAAATTAAATGTAATTATTCTCATATGTTCTGTTTCAGGGAAAACCGAGGCTGTAATCAAAAACTTCAGCCCACACTACCAACGCCAGTATGCTGTTGCTTTTTGTAAGCACATACAAAATGAACTGGAACAGCACCGAAACTTCCAGTCTCAATTCCTGAAAACCAAGGTAAGAGGAAATCTTGGAGGAATCCTAGGTTCCATGATGTTGCCTGATAGCTGTGCCCTGCTAACACAGAAACAGCCAGACCTTATTAGCATAACTATCTTAAATATACACAAAATGCACTCTGAAACTCAAGATTACATCTGTAACCAAAAGAGGCAGAATTTCAGAAGTGCTGAACACCCGCAACTCCAGTTAAAGTCAGTGAGAACAGCAGATACTCAGGACCTCTGAAAATCAGGGCCAAAGTATCCTAACAGTGACATATATATAAGAAATAAATAATGTATTTCCATTTTCCTTACTTATATTTTTGGCTATCTTTTTAATGGCCTGTAAATTTGGACACAAAACATCTTGAGTGCATCTCTTTTACAGTTAAAAGCCATGTATGTTTAAAGCTATGGTGTGTGCATGATTGGATAGATCTGTAACAAACTTGCAAGTGCAGATGTAGTTAGCATCCCAGCCAGAACTGTTTTCTTTTCGCACATGGTAAAAATGTTAAAGATGTGTATAAGTGTGACTTCAATTGCTGTGTTTGAGGCCTTTTGAAAATTTGGCTCTGTTTTGTGGTTTAGACATGAAGTAACTTGTATTACCTTTTTGGGGAAGAGAATATTTTGGAATAAGAAAAATACTGATATGAAACATACGTTTCAATGGGGATCAGATTTGGTGTGGAGGGGAGGAATAGTGGGGTTCTGATCACTTGCAAAGTTTTGTAGGTATCTCAGGATAAAGTCGATACGCAATGGTTAAGGCTGCGAGTCTGTCACGGAAGTCATGGATTCCATGTCTTTCTGTGATCTCCATGACTTCTGCCGCTGGCAGGTGTGACTGACCCCAAGGCCAGCCGCACTCCTCCCCACCCCCGATAACAATGGCGCTCCCAGGCTGCCCCCCGCCAGCAGCGTCGGTGGCAGTCCTGGGTCGGTGGGGCCGTCCCCTGCTAGCAGTGGAGGTCCCATGCTGCCTCCCCCCACCCAGCACCAGCGGGTACCCCGGAGTCTCTCCCCCCAGCACCATCAGGTGCCCTGGGACCCCTCCCCCCAGCACCAGCGGGCGCTCTGGAGGCCCCCCCCCAGCACCAACAGGCATCCTGGAGACCACCCCCCCAGCACCAGCAGGTGCCCCAGAGTCTCTCCCCCCAGCACCAGCGGGTGCCCCGGAGGTCCCCGCCCAGCACCAGCGGGTGCCCCAGAGCCCCCCCTCCAGAGCCGCAGCTGTGCCCCTGGAGTTCCACAGAACACCAAAAATTTAGTCAGGGGTATAGTACAAGTCATGGCCAGGTCACGGGGCTGTGAATTTTTGTTTATTGCCTGTGACCTGCTCATGACTAAATCTGAGCTTAATTATGGTGGACGTTTCTGTGGGAGAGTTAGCCAAATCTGTAAACCATGCCTGCAGGATTCCATAGAAAAGGCCAACACTTGTCAAACTAATTCATGGAATAATCTAAAGAAGCATGTACATACGGTTTTGATAAGGGAAGGAAATTCAGAGAAGTTGACCATAATTGAGAGATAGGTGCTAACTTAAGCATTTCACTAGGATTGGCCTGAAATCACAAGTCCTCGCCTTGAGAGGTGTGAAACCTCATAGTTTATACTGTTTATGTGGGCTGGCTAGGCAAAGAACCAGCACTCAAACACAAGCATTGCCCTTCGAAAAGATATATATGTAATAGGGACAGCAAAGCCAAAAAAGTATAAATGAAAGAAACGTGAAAAATTTTATGCCCATAGAATTGATTCTTTCAATCATAAAGTTAGTCTCCAAAATAAAATGGTCTTTTAACATGTAATGGAGAAGCACCTGGGAACAATGGGCCAGCTCTGCTGCAGAACTGACATCTAAAACAAAAGATTATTAATGAACTTGCTAATATTACCACCATGAAAACTGAAAGGTTAATAAGAACTCCTCTGCCACAGAAATCTAGAAATAAGTTTGGAGAGAATTAGGCCCACTAGCGCCCAACCCTCTGAAGCCATATGAATTCAATCACCTGGGTTGCATCTACTTGATTCAAACAGAAGATCCTTACTCTGAATTTCAAGAGAAGGCCCAAAGAGCTCCCAAATGGTCCTTGCTAATATGCCCTCTGGAAAATGTAGAAGGAAAACCTTCAGAATAGCCAGTATTTGTGCAAAATGCTTTCAAATCTGATCACTTTCTTTTTAGCCCCCTGTGGAATCTGGGATGATCTTGTATGAAGCAGAGTTGTTGCATTTTGCTGAAGATCTGAAGAAATGGAAGGAGAGATATATTGTGATCAGAAACGACTATGCAGTGCAGAGCTTTGAGAGCAAAGAGGTAAAGCTGCTCTAGGGTGACCAGATGTCCCAATTTTATAGGGACTGTTCCGATATTCGGGCTTTGTCTTATATAGTGTTACCCCCCCATCCTCTGTCCCAATTTTTCACACTTGCTATCTGGTCACTCTAAGCTTCACTCTCGCATGTTACTGCTTCCGTGTGGAGTTGGTAACATATGACTGGGTCTGTTGCACCTCATTCTTTCTATTAGATTAAAAAAAATTACTGAACTCAATATTCCCAAACTTGTCGATAATCTGAATAGGAGTGGATTCTAGGCTAATGCAGATGCTGTTTTATTATGAATGGATCAAATTCTGAGCTCAGATAAGCAGGTGCAACATCCATTAAGCACTTTTCATCTATCAAACGTTTTGCAAATATTTACAATTAATCTTCACAACACTTCTGTCTTCCCCATATATATCCATCTATCAACATTTCTAAGGGGTCTGTCACTGTAGTACCTAACCAGTGTTTCTGGAACTGGAATTTAACTAGCAATTTATCTGTTGATTCCCATATACCACCATGCAGCTTTCTGTTTAGCCGGAATGTTGGCCCTGCAATAGTGCCAATGTCCAAACTAGTTTTAGCCATCAAACTAAGTAGATATAGCTTGAAAGTTGCACAATACCAGATAAGCAGTACCAGAGGGCCATTTTTGTACACATTTTGCTGACCTTTTTACACTTAAACATTATTCAGATTTGATGCTTTCAGGAAATAGATCTGAATTTAGCCCACCAAAACTGCTGTCTTTAGGGAGGATCTATGTACTAGTTCCATGTAAATGAATTGGGGATATGTTATAGGCTGAGACTACCATTTTTAAAATCTTTATTTTGATTCTCTCTCTCTCATGTCCCTCCTCCCCCAGGCTTACCAGAAGGGAGTCAGCCCTAAATATCGTATTCTTCCTGCAGGAGGCAAAGTACTGACCTCAGAAGAAGATTACAATTTGCTGTCTGATAAGCATTTTCCAGACCCAGTTGGTAAGCACTGTCAAAAACTGAAATGCCCAATCTCAACCACTTTTTCCACCGTCTTTTTTTAGATCTCGAGGCTATGTGTTAAGCAGTGTAACAGAAGATGAATGCTCCATGTTTGCCATTATCGAAACATAATTCCAGAAGACCACATACTACATGCTATTAATTAATTAATGAATAAGTACTGGATACTTGTTGTCATGCTGTCACTACAAAATAGTTTTGTGAACTGCACAAAGCAAAACCACAAGCAGACTAGAAAACACCACTTCCATATTTTACTTATCCCATCATTGGACGTCAATTGTCTCCCTTTAAAGGCACTTGATTGGGTGTCCCACACACAAATAGAAGGGAAGTTGTTAATTGTAGATAATAGCTCCACATTACTTTGTATTGCTTATACACCACAATGATTTTTCCTCCCATGAAGAGGAAGAAAGCTCTAAATCTAAGGGGCCAGATGTGGATTTGGAACAGCTAAGGAGGGGGATAAGGGACACAGGTGTCTTTCCATTGCCTTTCTGACCTCTAAGTCTTTTCAGTGCTGCTCTAACTTGTGGTTGTTGGCCCAGGATTGCCAGGGGCAGCATGCTTCAGTCATGCCCTGTCATGGTCCTTGAACACCTGCTAATACAAATAAATAATAATAATAATCATACACCAGCTTTAGGCCATCTGGGGACTCTCCTATACAACGACTTCCTAGCTGCCTTTTTCTGGCAGCTCTGTCCCCTTTGTGCCAGCCAAAGATCTGGCTTTGTGAGTTTAACATCTTTACTCCAAGCAAAGTCTCTAAAGAGACCGTAAATGGAATTGCCCGTTGCACACTGCAAAGCATAGATACAATGACTTTTATTCTACTTAACTATAAATGGAGTTCTACAATATCTGTGTGTGGTCCAGATAGAAACATAAACTGATGCTTTAAGGGACTTTGGACCTTCTTTGATCTGTCCAAGAGCACAGAATTGCACAGAGCTTTCCGAAGACAGTGCATCTGGGCTTAAATGGAAGGAAAACTGGGGGTGAGGAAATGCACACTCTTTCTTTTTGCTTAAATATAATTTGCTCAATACATCATACAGAGGAGACAGTAGGGAAAGAAATGAAAATTCCCCATGCTTAATTTTTTTTTACCATGAAAGCCCTGCTGCCTAGCCTTTATAATCCATCAAAAATTATGATTCTCCAAGGTGCCTAAACTTTGCCCATCTGAGGGCTGTATCTAACTTGAATACAAACATGTGCCCCTGTAACATGGAAGTGCCATCTGCAGAGATTGCAGGTCCCAAGCATGCAATGCTGCAACGTGATCTGAATGACCATTTGCTTGGATCAAGATGGACCATTTCATCTGAGACCTGTACTTTTCCTAGGCCAGACCTCCATGATAAAGAAGAAATGTTGTTTGAGAACCTTAATGGATTTATTTCTCCTATAGTTTTAATCACAAGGTAAAAATGTTTGTTAAACTGGCCAGAAAAGCCCAGAAACTTGTTTTAAACCAGATATTTCTACTTATGTATGTATGTATTTATTTATTTAGCTTCTAATGAGAAGGAAAATGCCCAGGCATTTGTTCTCCTGCCAAAAGAGTTTCCAGTTTACCTGTGGCAGCCCTACCTCAGACACAGTTACTACTGTTTCGAGGATCCAGAAGCTCAGCAACAATTTAGTGCAGTGCTGAATGACTGTGTCAGACACTTAAACCAAGGTAAGTACAACAGTGGCTTCCTCTTGTGCACCCATTACCTGTGGTTAAGCCTGATTAGCCTGCTGTAAGATCCATCTTGTGGAAAAATAAAATATTATGGGAGTCCCATTCTGTCTCAGAGGTGCTTCCCTGTAAGTGCCTTGAATAAAATCTGTATTAATATAGTTAATTTTCTTTCAGTGCTACAGCTAAATCTGGTTAAAGTTAAGCTATATTTTAGCAAGTGTGAGCACGTTACATTTTAGTAGGATTCAAGCAGTTATTCAACAGGGCTTTTAAAAGTTGTAGTGTGCTTGGATGCAAAACATGTTAGCCTCTTTGAAATGGTGTTCCAGTCCCTCATGGGAATTTACCATAAAGTAAAATCATCCAAAGAGTTTATTGGACTCCTGCTATATTATGTATACATGGTCTACCGGACCATCTATGATGTATCCTGGCTGCAAGATGAGAATCTGATGCATGCTATTTAACACTATCAAATTTTTGGTCAAATGTTATAGAAATCATATGTTAGAGATCACATTGAGATCATGATGGTGCATCAATGGTGATGTTAGAATTTATGTTTTCTTTGGGGGATGTTCACCCCTCTACTGATGGCAGCGCAAGGGCTATGCACCAAGTAAGGCCTCCTGGTAGAACCTGAGTGGTGCATTCACTCTGTGATTTTTCTCAATATTTGGGACTAAAAGGCTCTTTTAAAACTATGAGTTCACTATGAGTATAATTGGTGGGAGTATTTTTTTACATTGACTTCAGTGGGAGCAGAATCAGTACCTGCATAAAAAGAAATCATTTAAAATCTTCGAGACAGCTGGGCTGAGGTGGGTATCCAAAGGGAGTGAGTGCCACAGCCAAAGGATTACTATATCAAATGCTTGTTTACTTGTTGTTCTAGCTTGTGAAGATAAAACCCCTGGAAGATGGTTGGGGCCAAATCACACATAATTGTCAGAGCAAGACTTAATGAATAATGATCAAATATAGCCAGATCCCTCACTGTCCAAAAACTAAACTGGATTACCTTAAAACATAGTAACTTCTCTCTTAAAATAAAGCGACCTCTCTATAGGCAGACACTGAAGAGAATATAGGGTCCACAGATGTCTATAGTGCCTTTATTGCATCATGCCTGAAAGTTCTCTCTTGAAAGTTGTGCTTGCTTTGCAATTTCAACAAAAGTAAAATGTTGGGCTGGTTTACAGTGAGGTGTCAGTTGAGGATACTTCTTAAAGGCTTGCCAAAAAGATGAAGAAGTCCTGACCTCACCAGTTTCATAAGGAGTTCTTAGAGCCGCTAATGGTTTTCATCGGGCAGTATTAAGAGGTTACAATATAGTCACTACTGAAAAATTTCAGCATTTAACAGCTTCCACATAGTGCTATTGAAGACCTCAGTATTTCTATATATGTAAGATTAGAAATAGCTGCAGTATATCAGCTACCATTGTTTGGTAATGGTAAATGTCTGAATTCTAGTGGTGAATGTATGTGAAGTTTCCACTGCGTAAACGTTGGCTGAAGATACAATATTATTGATTTATTTTTTCTCCAGAAACCTTTCTGAAAATACTAGGGTATTGCATGTTAATGATCCAAAACACTGCAGCTTACAGGAACAATTACGCACTGGGTTTTTTGGGGGGCCATTAGTGCACAATACTGCAGATATTTTCTCATAAGAAACACTTCCAACCTCCAGAGTAGAGGCTGTCTTTCCCTCTCCGAATGAGTTTTGACCGTTAGTATCTAAAGAAATGACCAAGGGACAAAAGTGTTCATTTAACAGCAAAAGACAGCTTCATTCCTGTCTTCATTCAGGGCTCAGTCCCACTTCTCACTTACTGAGATGCGTATTGCAATATGTGTCTAACTGATTTTTTAAGATATGCAACTGTTTGCACCCATGAACTCAATGGTGGTCATAGGCAGTCACATAATCCAATGAACACCTGGGGGCTCTATGCCTCACCAGTAAACAGATGTCATGGACTGTCTCAAGGTACTGCAGCCTTCCTCTAGGGACCAGGCATGGGTGGTCAGACCTAATGGTCAGAGTCAGGAGCATGGAACCGGAGCTGAGGTCAGACCCAGGTGCCAATCCAAGGGTCAGAGATGGAGACAGAGTCAGGTACCAAGCCAGGGGTCAGAGCTGAAGTCAGCATCCAGTGTAGGTTATAGGATCAGGGACCTGGAGCAAGGCAGGAAAGCAGGAACCAGGAACAGACCAGGTCTGGGATTAGGAGGGCAGGAATGGACAGGAACAGGCTGGGAGTCAGGCAAGTAAGCAGGGTCCATAGCACCAGCTAGTCAGGGATTCACCTAGTTGCTCAGACAACTTCCTGTGCCTCTTTCAGGTTTTAAGTAGTGCATCTCAGCCAATCAATGGGGCTGGGTTTCTCCCCCAATCAGGAGCTTTGTGGGTAGGGCCTTTTGTGAGCTAGAGCTTTGGTAGCCCCCTTTTTCCACTGGCTCAGGTGAGCTGCTGGGTGGCAGCCCCAGTCTGACCATTGTCTGGGGATCTGGGGGTCAAGGCTTGTGATCCCTCATACCTCCTTTCTGTTCCTTCCTTGCTCGTTTGCAAGCTAGTACCAAATTTAGTAAGACACCAGCAGGGAGATTTTTCTCTGTTCTCTGCTTACCTTGTACAAATCTGGGTAAGCTGCACTTTTCTACACAGGTATAGCTATATTAGTGGCTAAAAGCCTAATGTAGACACGACCTCAGTCACAAGAAGCATAAAGATTTACCAAATTAGGGCTGGATTTATATTTGAAAGGCCTCTATTTAGGAGGAACACATATGCACTTAGCACTTTCAAGTATCTTGAAACTATAAAACTTCAACAAATATTCCATATATAGCTGTCATCTGAAGCCAATTTCCCACAGCATTCTTACAGGGAAAGTTTCCCCTTGTGGTTTATAATTCTGATTTGTCTGCTCTTTTAGCTGTGATCATACAGTACAAAAGTGCTCCAAACTAAAAAGCAATACTTTGGTTCTACAGCAAGTTACAGAATTCACAATAGGGATAGAATCATGTTTTCCTGGCACTGTGTAAATCTTCTGTGACTTGGATCGTTTGTAAGTTTTTGGATTTTGTTTTCCTTCTTATTGGACAAGTATTAACAGACTTGACAGGGCTTTTGGCAGCCTCCATTCTTAACTGAAGTTCACCATGTGCTCTAGGGGACAATCCTGCACTGGCAGATGATGGGAGTAGGTGACCTAATAGGTCTTTTCCATCTTAATGTGTGTGATTCAGTGTTTTACGATATTTCACACATTTCAGCTGTTGCTGATATATGTGCCTGTTCCAAGATTTCTTGCTCGCCTCTTTCCTGAAGTCAGGCTTTTATCTGATACAAGATTTTTAATGAACACTAAGGTTTTTATACCAAGGCACATTACATCTGGTATATTCCCACTCAAGAAACTTATTTGCTAAAAGGAAATCAGAATAAAACATATCATTATTCCAGTAGAAGAGCCCGCACATTAAAAGCTAAGGAAATTGTAAGCTAATGTTACATAATTCTTATAATCTTACATGCAGTTGCTTGTGAACACATCATTAACAGAAAATGTCGCACTGACCAGCACCCAAAGAACTGTAACTCTTCCCTTGGAGAAAACATTCCTAACAGTTATTTGAGGGAGTTAATATTGGTTTATATGCTTTCTCTCATAACTGTGTGAAATGCATTCATTTTATTCATGTCAAAGTTTTATAAAGTCTATGCTTTTGCTCAATCATATGCAATCATACACAACCAGACATTTTAACAATTCATGACTGCACAAATGGCCTATAAATAATGTTGTCCACTGATTAAAATAAATCCATATACCCATAACTAGACAAACACAATGAGACACAAAGCAACTGTATGAACATATCCCAATTCTAATCACCATGCAAGGCATAAAAGTGCTCTTCAGATGAAAACTGCAACTGTCAGTGTTGTAACATACTATCACACTTAGTATACAGAACAAATACATGCACAATACCAGTTATACACGCAATAGTTTGTAATTCACATTTTCAATTCAATCAATCACTTCTGATTAATAGAAGTTATATTTCTTAATATTGTGTGTGCCTTTTAAATATTGCACAGAGAAGTACAGGGATTTGGTGCTGGTCAGGGAAGAGATTTTTTGTTTGTTTGATGTATATGAGAACTGAGTGTTAAAGTTGGTGTCAGGATTGCATATGTAACCTTTACCTTGTGAGTTCCTTTGGTTTTAAATGTTTAGACTATTAGGGCTTGTCTACACTTAATACACTGCAGCAGAGCAACTGCTCTGCAACAGTTGTGCTGCTGTAGCGCATCAGTGAAGATGCTACCAACACTGATTGGAGAGGTTATCCTGGCGGCATAAGTACTCCACCTCCCTGAGAGGTGGTAAACTAGGTCAATGGGAGAATTCTCCCATCAACCTTGTGCTGTCTACACAGAGGTTAGGTCTGTTTAACTGCATCGCTCAGGGATGTGCATTTTTCATACTCCTGAGCGATGTAGTTATACTGACCGAATTTCCTAGCATAGACCATGCCTTAGTGATGTGTGTAATAGTATGTCTTGTTGTTGAATTGCCTGTAACAACCTTAACGATACTGAACAAAGCTTTTGTATGTCAATTTCCTAGATTGAAATAGAAAAGAAACACAAGGAGTCATGAAAGTTATATATGCAATCAACAATGATTAAGGCTAAGATTTTATCACGGACATTTTTAGTAAAAGTCGCGGACAGGTCATGGGCAATAATGAAAAATTCACGGAGAAACCTGGGCAGCTGTGAGTGGACTGGGAGCTCCAGGGTCCTCCCTGCTGGTGGCTCCGAACTCCGGGGGTTCCCCCTGCTGCCACGGAGGCCAGGAGCTCTGGGGGTCCCTCCTGCCACCTGGGGAGGTGGAGAGCTGCGGGGATTCTCCCCTGCCTCCCACGGTGGCGGGGAGCGTTGGGGTCCCCCCTGAGCTGCGGGGG